AAAAAAAAAAAAAAAAAAAAAATATATATATATATATATATAAATGAAAGCCCTATACTTTAAAATGACAAAGTGTCTGAAATCGTAGCACCTACACTATGTAGAAAAGTTCCATAAAACCACTAAATATAAACATAGGAGAATATCATAATTTTTCTGTAATTTAAAATGACCTCAAATTATACTAGCATTCTTATGATTTTGTGGACTTCTTTAACATGAAAGGTATATGGTTTTTCCCTTTAGTCCTCCATATACCAAGCCTTCAGGTAGAGATGGAGAAAAGCCTGAAACCAGAATCACAGACACATTGCTGCATGGACTCTAAAAAGTGAAATCCACAGACTGTGAACCACTAAGTCTTGTTTACCGGCAATCTCTTTAATTTTTAAAAATACTTTTTCATTTTTTGAGACAGAGTCACACTATGTTGCCCTAGGTAGAGTGCTGTGGCATCATAGCTCACAGCAACCTCAACTCTTGGGCTTAAGCAATTCTCTTGCCTCGGCCTCCTGAGTAGCTGAGCCTACAGGCACCTGCCACAATGCCCAGCTATTTTTTGGTTGCCGTTGTCATTGTTATTTAGCAGGCCTGGGCCAGGCTGTAACCTGCCAGCTTTGGTGTATGTGGCTGGCACCCTACTCACTCAGCTATAGGTGCTGAGCCTTTTCATTTTTTCTTATTCCAAAAGTAATACATGCCTATTATGCCAAATTCAAACATTTCATATAAATCTGAAGTCCCCTGTGCAATCAAAAATAATTTTATACTGACATGTTTATTTTGTAACTTGCTTTTGTAAATAATGTATCTTGAATAATTTTTTTACCACTTTATATGGATTTTTCCTTATTCTTTTTGAAAAGCTGTGTAGTATTCCATTTTATTGATATACTGTTATTTAATTACCCAGTGCTCCACTGAGAAATGAGTATGTCTGTCTTCCCCAATGTTTAGCTGATAAAAACATTGCTGAAGGAAACCTCTTCATATTTGAGTGTTTCTGTGGGATAAAGTTCTACAAGTGAGAAAGATGTTTCAGTAGGCATACGTATTTCCAATTTTGGTTGATATTGCCCTCCAAAATGTTTTTTTTTTTTGAGACAGAGCCTCAAGCTGTCCTCCTGGGTAGAGTGCTGTGGCATCACAGCTCACAGCAACCTCCAACTCCCGGGTCAAGCGAGTCTCCTGTCTCAGCCTCCCAAGTAGCTGGGAACACAGGCGCCCGCCACAATGCATGGCTATTTTTTGGTTGCAGCCATCATTGTTTGACAGGCCCAGACTGGATTCAAACCCACCACATTAGGTGTATGTGGCTGGCACCTTAGCCTCTTGAGCCACAGGCACTGAGCCCCTCCAAAAAGTTTCTAACAAATTATACTCCCACCGACAGTGCTCTGAATATTATCAAACTTTTTTTTTTAATTTGAATCTCACTTTCTTGCCCTTGATAAGTGCCAGGGCCTCATAACTAATAGGAACTTCAGACTCTAGGGATCAAGCAATCCTCTTGCCTCAGTTTTTTTCATTTTTAGTAAAGACAGAGTCTCAGGTGGCCCCTGTGGCTCAAAGGGGTAGGGCACTGGCCCCATATGCTGGAGGTGGCAGGTTCAAGCCCAGCCCCGGCCAAAAACTGCAAAAAAAAAAAAAAGACAGTCTCAACTCTGGCTCAGGCTGCTCTTGAACTCATGAACTGAAGTGATCCACTCTCCTTGGCCTCCCAGAGTGCCACTGGACCCAGCCGATCACCATTTTTAATATTTCTCAATCTAAGTGAAAAGTGAAATTTCACTGATCTCATTTGCTTTTCTTTTATCACAAATGTTGATCATCTTTTCAGATGTTTACAAGTCATTTGTATTTTTCTGTGACCTCCCTATTGTGATCCTTTGACCATTTTTCTACTAGGTTTATCTTTTTTCAATCAATTGCTAAGAATTCTGTACATTTATAGAATGTTAACCTCTTTTTATGTGTTATACTATGAATATAATTTTTACAGGTGTTGACTTAATTTTATTTTTTAATATGTAATACTTTTTTTTGTTCAAATTTCAAAAAGTACATACATGTTTTTCCAAATCCTCTCTCCCAGCTACCTAGTTCTTTCTAGAGGCAGTGTTATTTTGTTGAATTCTTCAATAGCTTAGGATATATAAATATGAAACAGGAAAGTATTCAAATAATTTAAAAAGCTATACGATTTTCTTTGTCTCTCATGTCTCCTCTGTATCCTTTTGGTTCTAGCTGCGATACTATGACTCAGGTGAGGACACAAACTGTAAAGGCCACATTGATCTGGCTGAAGTAGAAATGGTCATCCCTGCTGGCCCCAGCATGGGAGCCCCAAAGCACACGAATGACAAGGCTTTCTTTGATGTAAGTTGATCTTCTGTTTTTCCTGGCTCTGCCTGTGTATCATTCCATCTACCCCCAGGAATTATGGGGTCCTGAGAGCACTTGGTGACTGCAGATGAGTGACAGACCCCTGGCTATCAGAATGGCTCCAGAATTTGAACTTAAGACCCTTGATCCCCAATGCTAACCTCTCTTGCTGTCAATATGTCTCAGAAAAACTGCAAACTGCTTTGTGCAAAAGGCATCCAAACACTTAAAGAAGCGAATGAACTCCTCATTAAATGTTTTCCGTTATTTCAGTCACTGCCTACTTTTAAGAACAGATGCTGCTTCCCTCTGTATCCAGCAGTCTTCATGCTTGACCATCCACAAAATTCTGCCCTTGGTCACACATAATAACTACGCCCTAACATCTGCAGCAGTCCTTAGGTGGGCTTTGGGGTATTTTACAGGCCACATAGTAGAAGGGAACTTAACCTGGTTCCTCGAGTCAAGCAAGGCCTGTTCAGGCCATGAGGCCATTTCCCTGACTCTGGGCCTCTAGTATGGGTGGCCCCATGTGAAGAAAGGGGACACAAGGCCAACTTAATGGTGTAGGGGAAGCCCAGGCTTCCCACTGGAGCACAAAGAGCTTCCTAATCTTTACTGTGTTGGAGCAGTGCATGGGAGAGGCCAGAGGCTCCAGCTATTCCTGACCCTTCCTCCTTATTCAAGAGCAAAATAAAGGCTCTCCCAGTATGTTTCCTTTTTCTGTCAGTATCCTTCTGTTGACATCCCCTTAACCTTGGGGACTAGAAAAGTAAAGTGACTATAAAGGCAGAGATTGTAGTAGTAGAGGGAGAAAAATTACAGAGGTATGAAAAAGGAAGATCACAGGGATGGATTCGTCACTCACCCAAAACCATAAAACAGCCCTGACTTTCATCTCTGGTTCTCTGTGATTTGGTTTTACAGCTCAAGACCAGCAAACGTGTGTATAACTTCTGTGCCCAAGATGGACAGAGTGCCCAGCAATGGATGGACAGGATCCAGAACTGTATCTCTGATGCCTGATGCCCATGGGTCAACAAACACAGAAGAGGTAGAAGAACTCATGCTGCCAGACAGAATAAACAGCATGAATCTTTAAGGAGTTTGACCACAGGTCATCCCCGGGGCCGGAGGTTCTCCTGCCCAGTCTTACCCCATCCCCTCTGGCAGCAACCCCTATGTCTACTTAACCTGAATGAGTGTCACACAGGTCTGGTCAAGAGCCCAAGGCACTCCGTATATGTTGCACTAAATTGTTGTAACAGGGTCTTAGTGGTTAGTGATCAGAAGATGCCTCCTGAGCCAACTGTTACCTGCCCCCAGGCAAGACAGCTACAACCTATTTGGGGCTTTTTTCATGAAAGCTAAATCTTTTTTTTGTCCATCAGCATCATAATTTCCTTGGAGAGCTTTTAAATGAGCAAAAATCAAAACCCTCCAAGATTATCTCATATTCTACACAGATTAGGTTTCCCTTGAGAGGCACCTCGTACTACTCGTACTGCCTTGACCTTTGAGATGCTCGGTTCTCTGGTGCTGCCAAAAGGTGCTTCATTGGTCCCTGCTCTGCCGTTGAGGTTCACAGCAAAAGACATAATTGCTCAGTGGCAGGCAAAGAGGGAGCACAGATGATTATTCTGATGGAAAAAGATTGTCCAGGGAGTGATGCAACAATGAACAGGCCAATGCAGAAAACACTGCTTCCAAAACACTGACTTCTCTAGACCAGAGGTGCTCTGAGGATCCAGGGCCTGTGTTCCCATGTATTCAGTTCCTGGACAGCTTCTTACACTAAAATAACATGCAAAAAGCTGAATGCACTAACCTACAAAACACTTGCACTGAACTCCTAATGAAGTGAAGATGTTGGAAAGATAGAGCCCACCTACTTGTGGCCACACACCTGTGACAAGGGCTGTGTAGCAATCATACTGTGGCATGACTGGATACCCAAACAACACTTCTGCACATGAGAAGAACTGTCTTTAGATTTTCTTTACTTTTGATAACCCTGTGTTTGTTCACCTTAAGATTCGGGGAATGCTGTTTGCTTACTGTAAAGAGAAATGTCATCCCTGCTGGGGTCATAGGTAGCTAGATCATTACATTTGTTTTGAAATGTTAATATGTTAAATACTAAACTAATATTGCAAAAATATGTATATATGATTTCTATATCCTTGTTTTTAGATAGCCTGCTTATAATTTAATATAAAATTAACTGATTCATTTATAATATTCAATAATGAAACGGCTCCCTTTTTAAAAAATAAAAAAATACTTTGTAGATTAAAAATAAATTAGATTTTTCAAATTTAAAATTACATACTAGGAAATAGAATTGTGTTAATATATAAGAAATTGGGGGATAATAAGAATGAAGGACTTTTCTATCATTTTCATTTTATAAATTGCCACCTGTGAAAATGGTTTTGCACATTATTTGTATTTTTCTTTGTATATGAAATAATTTTTTGTACTTTGTAAAATATGGAGCCCATTGTACCTTCAGCTATTTCAGACTGTACACAGTGCTTCTTTTGTAACTGGATTCTTTTAACTTTCATGAAGGCATGACATTGCCTTACATTTACTAACCATCTTGAATTAAATTGATTTCTTATGAAAAAGCATCCCTCATTCACTGTGAAATAAAGTTCATTCTGCAGTCCAGAGCACTCAGGAGGGTGACATTCAGGATGCATACGAGGAACTACAGATTAAGAATAAAACAAAGCATGCCCTGCTTTGTGCCTTGGTCTTATGGTGTCATCACTGCCCTTTGCTCAAGAAGTAACCAAGGATGCTGGACGTGCTGGTATGAGCTTCCAGGTTCTGGACACACTTCTGTGGAGTTTCTAAAGAGACCCGAGGCCAAGATCTCACTCCCTCTGCCATTCCCACCACAGCAGTATGTCTGGGCTCTGGAAAGATGCAGACACAGGAGAGCACATCAGCATAGGTCACATTTCCCAACCCATTGTCTTAAATCCTTTTTTCTTTTTTTTTTTTTTTGAGACAGAGCCTCAAGCTGTCCCCCTGGGTAGAGTGCCATGGCATTACAGCTCATAGCAACCTCCAACTCGTGGGCTCAAGCGAGTCTCCTGCCTCTGCCTCCCAAGTAGCTGGGACCATAGGCGCCCACCACAATGCCTGGCTATTTTTTGGTTGCAGCCATTATTGTTGTTTGGCGGGTCCGGGCTGGGGATTCGAACCCGCCACCTTAGGTGTACGTGGCTGGCGCCTTAGCCGGTTGAGCTATAGGCGCCGAGCCTGTCTTAAATCCTTTAATCCCACCTCCCAAATCCCTCTACCCTACTGTCTCCACTCCAGAGCTAGAGCCTAAATTGTTATGGCACGGCAGGTTGCTTCTCAATGGAAATTAATTTTTTTAGGTATTTTTCCTCAGAAGTTCTTTTAAGAATTATTAGGTAAATCCATTAACCCATAAAGAATTTCTGAACAGATTCATTTTTTATTTATTTTTATCCCAAGCTGATAACCAGGAATTGTCCTCAGCAATAGCAACCAAAGCTATTAACTAAGCAGTGAATTAAGCAGCACTGATGAAGGGATAGGGTTTACACTAAGCAGATGTTACATCTGTATCTTTAAAGGAAAAAGAAATAGATGAAAATTTTAGTATATTTTATTTATCTTTTATTCCCTCTTTTCCTTGGCATTGAGTCTATCTCCCTTGTAAAATAATTCCCAGTTCCTGTGTCTCCTTACCCCTTTATCTCTGACCTAGCATTTGTGCACGTTACCCTAACACTGTTAACTCAGGGCTTCTCAGTGTGCTGTTTGACACTTTGGACAAATCTGTTCTGGGGATGGTCTGGTACATCACAGGATGGTGAGCAGCATCCCTGGCCCCCACCCACTAGATGCCAGCAGCATGTAGACGTCAGTGGTGACAAACATCGCTGGACACGCACAAATGTGCTCTGGGAACAGACTAACCACAGTTGATAACCTCTGCTGTAACTACCTTTCTGGAGTTAAGGGCTAAGAAGCCCCTGAGGAAAGAGGTCCTGATTAGAGGGGCTCCTGAAGAAGACTCAGTCAAGCAAGTAAATCCACTCTAACCCCCATGCTGCCCCTAGCTCGCTGAGTTTCAGCTGAATTAAAGAAGGGGGTCCAGTAAGGACTCTACACCATGGCTAATACACGGCAGACTGCCTGCAAATCTACCAGTGGGTAAGTAGTCACGAAACCACTAGCTACAAAAGCCACTGGCAAAGTGTACCCTCTCCTAGAGAAGTGAAGACACCCAGTTACCAGCCTGGTACCGTGAAATTAGATAATACCAGAAATCTATTGAACTTTAGATTCACAAACTTCCCTTCCACAGTCTGGTTCCAGAAATTGCTCAAGACTTCCAAATGGACCTGCGATTCCAGAGTGCAACACGGCACAGCTATTAGTGCTTCACAGAAGGCGAGTGAGGACTGTCCAGCCTTTCTGAAGACACCAACCAGCATGCTGTCCATCCAACACATGCCAGGAGACACCCTGCTAGGACACTGATATGCAAAGAGCTTGCTTGACAACCCACTACAGTGGGAAACACTTCATTCTCAAAAACAAAAAAAGGCAGGCACAGACTGTCCAGTGATTCGGTTCTTGCCTTTAAAAAAAAAAGGGGGAGGAGGAGGGAGATGTTTTTCTCTTCTTGCTGTTAGTGGTAGCTCTAAAGGTTAGATTTTTTTTTCCCCATGGGGTCAAAAGGCACTTAGGGGTATATGATTCCAAGTGTGAGAATGGACCAGAAATCAGCTATTGGCAATTTTGTTATTTTCATTTGTGTGTGTTAAATGCTGGGACATTGAGCATTAATCCAAGGTAGTGCACAGTGGCTCACACACCTTCAGTCCAGGCACTTTGCGAGGGTGAAGTGGGAGGATTGCTTGGGCAATTTGAGACTGGTCTACACAACATAGCAAGACCCAGTCTCTACCAAAAATAAGATAAATTAGCCAGTGTGGTGGCATGTGCCTCCCAGCTACTCGGGAGGCTGATGAAGGAGGATCAACTCAGTTTAGAATTCAAGGTTACAGTGAGCTATGAGTGTACCACTGCACTCCAGCTTGGGCAACAGAGGAAACCCTCATCTCAAAAAAAAAAAAAAAGTCAAAATGCTTCCATGAACAAGTTTTAGTTCAATGTTATAAGTAAACCTATTAAAATGCTGGGGTGCCTGTAGCTCAGTGGCTAGGGCACCGGCCACATATACCAGGGCTGGCAGGTTCAAACCCAGCCCAGAGCCTACCAAACAACAATGACAACAAAAAATAGCCAGGCATTGTGGTGGCACCTGTAGTCCCAGCTACTTGAGAGGCTAAGGCAAGAGAATCACTTAAGCCCAAGAGTTGGAGGTTGCTGTGAGCTGTGATGCCATAGCACTCTACTGAGGGTGACACAATAAAACTCTGTCTCAAAAAAAAAAGACAAGTCAACATTTGGATTTTTCTTAAGTAAAGTGGACATCACCTAAATGGTATTTGTAGCATTTTTTATCACACAGTAGATTCCAACCATTCACTAGACTTTTCTTAGTTGTCCTATATGCAAGGACACTTCTTTTTTTTATTTTTGAGACAGGTCTTGCTGTGCTGCTCAGGCTGGTCTCCAAGTCCTGCTCGTCCCACCTCAGCCTCCCAAAGTGCTGGGAACATAGCATGATCCATCATGCCCAGCTTCAAAGGAATGTCATCTGTCTTCTATGCTATTCCTATATACATTTGCTATTAAAATACTTAAACCATAAAAAGTTAATCCACATTTAATGCTTAGAAATTTTTCGGTCCCAGGATAAGCATGCAGCGAGTGCTAGTGGTAACTTGAGGCCTGGGTGACACAAGATGGCAGGAAGAACTAGCAAGCTCTCATTACTCCCTCAACCCTCCGCAATCCCGATTGCCTTACCTGCAGAGAAACCCTGCAGCTCGGGATCTTCTACTTTGCCTCCAAGGTGCCTGTATATATTTTAGTTTTTCATAGTATATTTAACCCAACGTATCCATTTTAATGAATAATAAAACAAGTTAAATGAAATGAAATATTTTATATCCTTTGATAAAGAGTCCTCAAAATCCAAAGTTATTTTACACTTACAGCACAGTTTGGACTGATGTATTCTCTTTATTCAAACACCAATTCTCTTTTTTTTTTTTTTTTTGAGACAGTCTCATTATGCATCCTAGGTAGAGTGCTGTAGCGTCACAGCTCACAGCAACCTCAAACTCTTGAGCTTAAGTAATTCTCTTGCCTCAGCCTCCCAAGTAGCTGGGACTACAGGCACCCACCACAACACCTGGTTATTTTTTTTGTTGTAGTTGTCATTGTTGTTTAGCAGCCTGGGCCAGGTTTGAGCCTGCCAACCTGGGTGTATGTGGCCAGCGCCCTACCCACTGAGCTACAGGTGCCACCCAAACACCAATTCTCATACACCAAATGCATGTTATTTTTCCATACCAGTTCTCCAGTTTTCTAGCACCAAGTATAGACATCCAACAATTTAGTTCAATTCTGACACTTAACTCCCCAGAGTTAGCAGACCCCACAGGTTCAGGGCCCACAAGACTGCCCCACTTCAGACACTAGTTGCAAGTCTCACAGAACTCAGGAAAACACTTCACTTACTTTCGCTGGCTTACTATAAGGGATACAAATCAGGAACAGCCAAATGGGAGAATTGCAAAGAGCAGGTACAGGGTAGGAGGGGGCATACTACCAGCCCAGCACCTGCTAGCAACACCAACCTGGAAGCTCTTCAAAGCTCACTGTTCCAGAGTTTTTATAACCCAATATCCAGTCCTCCTCCCTCCCCCGAGGTTGAGGGTAGGATGAAAGTTCCCATCCCCTATTCATTCATGTGGTCTTTCAGGTGACCAGTCCCTATCCTGAAGCTATCCAGGGGCCCCCACCCTGAATCACCTTGTTAGCATAAACTCACGTGAGTGAAAAGGGTGTGTTATGAATAACATGAGACACTCCTATCAGTAAATTCCAAGGGTTTTAGCCACTGTGTGCCAAAAACTCAGGACAAAGACCAAATGTATTTTTTACTCTACCACAACAAACAGTGTTTCCACTGCTACCATACTAGACAATGCAGATTTATAGCAGAGCCTACAATTCAAAGAGCTGGAAGCAAGTGCTGTCTTTCTCCTAATTCGCTATGACCTTGAACCAGTCCCTTAACTTTGGGCTTTAACCCAGATGATCTAGCACTTTGTGATTCCAAATTTACTTTGGCAAGGGCTCCGGTTCCAAACTGAAGTTTGAAGAATTTGCTGAAAAGCTCTCATCATCTGAATCAGAGCTTCTCAAATTATGAAGCACATGTGAATCATCTTGTTAAAATGAAGATGTTGGCTCGGCGCCTATAGCCCAACTGGCTAAGGCGCCAGCCATGTACACCTAAGGTGGCAGGTTCGAATCCCCAGCCTGAACCCGCCAAACAACAATGATGGCTGCAACCCAAAAATAGCCGGGCGTTGTGGTGGGCGCCTGTGGTCCCAGCTACTTGGGAGGCGGAGGCAGGAGACTCGCTTGAGCCCAGGAGTTGGAGGTTGCTGTGAGCTGTAATGCCATGGCACTCTACCCAGGGGGACAGCTTGAGGCTCTGTCTCAAAAAAAAATAATAAAATAAAATAAAATAAAATAAAATAAAATAAAATGAAGATGTTCTGGTGGTTGTTTGAGGCAGGGTCTTGCTCTGCCACCCTGGTTACAGTGC